CCTTGCTAGTCTCGGTCCGAAAGCCTAACCCTAAACCCTTAATGTTAGGATTACTCCCGCGTACCTTCATTCCCACCCTGGCATCCTTTTGACAAAGCCTCTCGACTTCCTAAATAATGTAGGGGCCTTAATGATTAGAATAGGGTTGGGGGGGTATACTATGTCTATAATTACAATAAGGAGCCCCTCAAAATAGTATTGGTAATTATTTAGGCTTCTATATTAAAACCCGCCTCCTGGCTCTCCGAACCCCTGGGCGCATCACCGGGTTCGTGGTTCTCCTCGCAGATCTGTCGTTTCGGGTTCTACCAGAGGAATGGGACGAGGGGCGTCTAGGATTTAGGCTGTTTAGGAAGGTTTTTGGGATCTGAGCAGTTTATGACACTAGGGTTTCGGGGATTTAGAGTCTCAGGGGCGCTGACGGGCTTTGGAGCTGGGGTTGACGTAAGGCTACGGGGCTGATGGATAGAGCTTTTGGGTATCCAGGGCTTTTCTTTCGGCTTGGAGAATGTTTGAAGTTTTTTTTTGCGAGATGTTTCGTGCATGGAGATCAAACCCCAGTCAGGACATGGGGGTTTAGGGTTTAGGACATCGTATCCTCAAGCTCTAATCCGCACATCGACTTGTGGCAAGCGTCGTTGTCCAGCGCATATGTCCCGTAGTACCAGACACCGTCATAGTGCAGCGAAGCACTGGGATAGCGGCCGTGGTACCTAATCAGATTTCGGGGTTTCAGGCTTAAGGGTTCAGAATACACCGAGCTTTATGAGTCACGCCCTGTCTTGGCACAAGAAGTATTTAAAGACGACTGCCAGACTTAATTCGACACCATATCCCTAAAACCCGAAACTCTACGCTGTTCATCAAGCTTAGGACCTCAGAGCAAGCCTAAAACCCGAATCGCATATCCTCAATCCCTCAACGCTAAATCCACACCCCCACCCGCCCCTGAACGTTTTCATAAACCCTTCGAGCACCCTCCACAAACCCAAACTTGATAAATCAAGTCGTGAGAAGGCCCAGAAAATTCGACCGGACGAACAGCCCAAGGTGCGGCGAAGGGGACGATTCGAAGACGCCGACATCCTCTTGGCTGGTGTTAGCTGCTCAGGCTGCGAAGGGCTTTAGAAGAATTCAGTAGGGGTTTTCCGTAATGGTTCTACATGGGTGTCAAGGATTTCATAAGGGTTTCGTCTTCTATTGCAAGTTTGGTGGAATTCTCGGGGATTCAATGCGTAGTGGCTTGCTACTGGCATGTGCGGCCCAAAAAGGCAGAGAAGCTTTTGCATCTTTCCACCTCACCGCGACAACTTCCCAAGTCATTCTGCAGTTGAGAACTTGGAGTTTCGAGATGATAGCATAAGGCTTGTAGACTTATCGGGGTAACGCGGAAGCGGTAGGCTCGATCACGACCCGAGCCGCCCTTCAGTGTCCTTGATCGTCAGGTTGAAAGGATCCTCTCCAGAGACTCTGGCGAAGCCAGTGGTGGACATGCAGGCCGCCCCTGCAACAAGCACGCCGAGAGGAGAAAGGGGCGTCGAGTTCTTGCGTTGATACCAGCTCGATACCCTAAGATCCCATTGTTGCGGGTTGCTTCTGCTGTTTCAGGATTTCCAGGCCAACATATTACAGTTCCTAAAGCTGAGCACTCTCAAACCCAAAAAAGATTCAAGCCCTAATTAGGCCCCCAAATCCGCTAAAGCCCTAAAGCCCCAATCCGCGAAACCCCTAAGCCCTAACAATCCCGAACACCCCCTCTTTGCCCCATAACCACTCCTGCGCAGGCGCTGGATGATCGGATGTTGCCGACCCTACCATCCGTCCAGGGCGTGTAAAGATCGCCATCCGAGGACCAGCTGGGATACCAAGTGTCCTGACACACGGGATTTTTTATGTGGTAGGGTTTCGAGTTTAAATTAAGGGTTTCTTGCTTAGGCTCTGGGTTTAGATGGGCATACGCTGCTGCTCGTGCTCGGGTCAAAGAAATTGCATTTCAAGCTGCTGCGCCGCCGTAGACCGCATAGCGACCAGTGAAGTGCACCTGATCGACGTCGTGAGCTATATAGGGCCAATGATGTGTATCAGGCCTTATAAGGCTCTACACTGCACAAGAAGACACTGAAATCTGGAAGAGAGTTTCGTGCGTCTTGCCGAAGTGCTACAACCCAGGCAGGGTCCCACAGCTTGATACTGAAACCTGGTTCGAATCCTGCCTGCCAAACTGGCTTTACAGAAGGAACTGTAAGGAGTACCATTGGGAAACAAGCCCTCGCAGTGACTGACTGATCTCCTGAAACCCTGACCTCTAAACTGACCCTGAACCCTGCCTGCAACGCATAAGACCTGGCCTATCAGGATTTGATTGCGAGGAATCCCAGGAAGAGCGCTTGGGAAAGTCTGTGGTTACAATGTTCTCAGACACTCCAAAACCCCTGAAGTGTGCAATGGGCTTTCAAAATTTCATCATGTCGCATGATCCTTAGTAGGATTAACCAAGGTATATTCCTCCACCATGGGCTTCGGAGGAGTCGCTGGGTTGATGAATTGTGATCTCCACATTCCAGGCCTTCATGGGCTCCTACCCATCACGGTCCCAGTGCCTTTAAATCATACGGCTTGTGATGATCAATAGCACGTAATAAATGATACAGGGGCCAAACTATTTGCCTTGCACTATGTTGGGGTTCCTTCTGGTCTCTAATTATACGTTAATATAACCCCAAGCCCTGATTAAAGCCAATATTATTTGATTAGATAAGTAAGGAGATGGGTGTCGAGACGAGTAGCGCCATGTCATAGCTGTAACCGCAACGTCCTGAGACCCTGAAGCCTCAAAACAAATCGGTTTAGAGCTTAGGATTTTAGGGTTTAGGGTTTAGGTTTTAGGGTTTAGAGTTTAGGGTTCAGGGTTTAGGTTTAGGGTTTAGGGTTTAGGGTTTAGGCAGCAGAAACCCCCAAAGCTGTAAAGAGCCTAAATGCTGCTGGCGGCCTCTGTAAAGAGGTCGCTGCGCTCGAAGGGGATGTCAGCAGGAGCTTCATTCGGCCAGGTAAATGCCTTAGCTCCACGGAATGACACACTGGGCTGAAATGCTCCGAAGCTGACAGCTTGTTCCCCTCCCCCTCCCCTTATACTTGCCCATGACTTTCAGATTGCTACTAAATTATAAGAACCCCAAAAGTTTAAAGGTTGGGTGTTGGATAACTACGTGTCTCCCTTCTAAAAGAAAGGCACCGTCTGCAACTGTGGTCTCCTGATTATAATGAGGACCACCTCTTTCAAAAGACCACAAGTCAAGTGTTCCCTTGCATGCCAGAAGCCTGAACGCGGAATGGAATACTCAACACGACGGAGGGAACCGCAAGCCTCACAACATCAAGCTTGAAACTTGAAGTTAAAAACTTCAGCACCTAGAACCACGAATGACTCCAACCCTGAACCCTAAACCCCTAAGCCACATAAATAGCAGGTGAATCTATCCCCGACAATGTCATCCATAAAGACGTAGGATGAGCCCTAGACTCTGAAGCGTACCGATCCCGATCCTCTGGCTCTGGCTTCCTGCAAGGCCGTAAGTTAGTAAGGGCCCCAAAGGTCCAAATTTGAGAGACCAACCTGCCATATCATGGCCAACGTTGTCGTAGGGCCCTCATGAATACCCAACCTTGCTTGGTAAAGATTTTATTTATAAGGTTGTGCAAGAAAAAGAGTGTGGCTTACTAGGCGCCAATCTCAAATTACCTCAGCCGCTGAACACCAAAGGCAGCAAAGATGCAGTGCCTGGCAAGGCGCTAGCCCCATGTGCGGCCAGTACAGCGAAAAGCTGCATGGTGACGGGAGCAGAGCTTTTTATGGGCTTCAATAGGATTCTAGAGGGGTCCATGTGGGATCCTATAGGGCTTTGTGGGGTTGGAGAGGCTTGTTGTTGAGGGCTTCTTGTCGGGTTTCCGGAGCTTCTCTTGCTGCCTTGAGATCAGAGGACTTGCGGCGCGAGTCTGCTTGAAATAATTCGGGTTTAGGCGGTTTGGGGAGTCTGGGGTTGGGGGGTCAGTTTAAAATTGAGGATGCTCGCACCCTCAACAGGTTCCTGCGTTCCACCTCAAGGGGTTTCCTTCATTTCTCCAAACTCCAAACCTTATAGAGATACTCGACACTTACGGCAAGACACCGGGCAAACCTTGTCAAGCTATGTCCATCAGGGTTCTCTCGAAGGCACTCTTCTTTGCAAGGGCCCGGAAGTTTCAGAAAACACCGAGAGCCAAATACAGCCCCCAAGAAATATGAGGATGCTGATTGTGTTCAGCCTTTAAAAGCGACACGCCTGGCTTGCATCCGTTAGTGAGGCAGAGCCTGCCCCTGTCTGCTGATCCACACAAAGAGCTCAATAGACCTTATCTGAAGACTACGCCGTACACGATAACAACTACAGTAACCTGACTGAAACGCCGGATGTACAAAAGGATACAACCCCTGCTCTGCGGAAACTAAGAGGGCGCGGGGACGCAGCTCTGGTAGAGCAGCCCCAGGGACTGCACAACCCTGGCCTGACGTCGCTAACAAACGCGACTGACCGAAACGCTGCCGCAGCAAAACTGTACCAGAAGAGACGAAAACAAACAGCTCCTCCTACAGTAACCCAAGTCTACCTATGATAAGGACCCCTCTAAGGAATAGGATCGGTCGTCATTCAGGCCCCTACTAGGCGGGATCTTGATCTTGGTCTCCGACTTCTATGGGTAGCGTGGAGAGCAGAAGCTATTCCGAGAAGGTCTCGGGCTAGCCCCAAAATCCTAAACCTGCAACAAGACCGAAAAACCCTTGAATGAAAAGCCTCAAACAGATCACAGCCTCTAAGGCAAAACAAAATCCTGCATGGAAGGCAGCTCTCCCACCCAACCCGCAAACCTACAGCCCCCCACCCAAAACATCTAGACGTTTCACATTGAACCCTGCATCCCCTTCGGCAGTGCCTACTCAAACAATCAAGCATAAATCCGTCTAAGCCTTACACCCGAAGATCCTAAACCCACCCTTTCCCTCCCCACTTTCTCGTTGGACGCTGCGTGTGGTTGTGGTCTAATGGCTGCTTTGCCCGGGGTCCCGGGCAGCTGCGCAGAGTTGCAAATTTCGCTGTCCAAGTCTCGAAGTCCTACGTCACTAATCCCAAAAACCCCAGAAGTCCCAAACCAAGGCCGAAAATCTGCAGAATCTAGGAGATAGGGTTGAGGCGACTGGTGTAGCTTTCGAGGGAGAAAGACGACAGCTCAAAGGCTGCGATCAGTGTGTGGAGATATGCAGTGCTTAGGCCTCGACCGTGTTTGACCTTGTATTCGCAGACAGCCTTTGTCCGCGAACCACCACCTCTTCCTGAACCTCCATTCTGTTAAATCCTCGCGCAACTTCCGAAAAATCCGCTGGGCAGCAAGTCTTACAGCAAGCCTCAAATCTTAAGCACTAGACGCAAATCTTGCAAACATCCTCAAAACCGCCTGAGTAAATCGTGGATGTGACAACGCAAGACCATCGGCGCAGCTGCTGTGAGAAAGAGGCAATCTGTGGCTGACACAGCGTGGGCAGGCCCCGACTTTCGTTGCACAGCGCTTCGGGTTTAGGGCTTTCAGGTTTAGGGTTTAAGGTTTGTGGTTTTAAGGTTTAGGATTTAAAGTTTAGGGTTTTAGGGCTTTAAAGATTAGGGTTTTAAGTTAAAGGGTTTAAGTCTCAAGATTTGAGCCAGGTCTCAAGGCCTTCGATAGGAAGCTCTTATGTTGCCTAGTGGAAAGACTTGGGTACACACCTGTGGAGCTGCGGGAGTGTGTCCTAAGCAGACGGCTATGCTGCCACTGCTGAGAGCCTCCGGCTGTGCATGGGTTTAGGGTTTAGGGTTTAGGGTTTAGGGTCCGGATCGATGCAGCACACGTGTGAAGGCCCCCCCATGCAGGCCACAGCGTTACTCAAACGCAGTCAGAAGCTTGAGCATTTCCCGTCGCCGTGCATTGGACAGCCGACACGTGCCACGGACAGTGCAAGCACCAGTTGAGCCCCATCATTTCTATTCCCGAGTATGGACTGATTTCCATGCTACCATGTTAACGCCTTTATCTCAATACCTAAATGCTCAACACACACTCCCCCGGTGGCACGTCTTGCTCAAGCATGACCGAATGCTTGAGTTGGATCCTTTGGGCTACAGCTGCCTCAAGGCTATGCAGGAACGACGGTTTAGGGTTTAGGGCTTAACTTTAGAACGACACAGAAGAGAGAATCAGAGAGGGTTGACAGGCTTTCATCAGAATAAGCACTATAACATCCTAAGGCTTCCGATCGTTAAGCCTCAAAGGTGACCCGTACAAGCAACTCTAGCTTCAAGTAATGCTGCAAAGATCGCAAACAAGAGAAGGCACATGTTTATCAGTTATTTGCTTTTCTCCAAAAAACAAAGTGGATAAGTGAGTAACATACTCTTCGACTAACTATCTAATTACATTGTAAGGATCTAGAACGGACTCCTTTATTGCATGTCTTGGGTTCTCCGGGTAATCAACAGTGGCATAGCTTCTCCAAGCTTACGCTCCAGCATTTACATATGTAATGTAATCAATAATATTGTGACCATATAGTGAGAGTATCCATGTAAGAGGCCTCTTGTGATTCAACGTGATTTAGGGCAGGATGCTTCTTTGAAGGGCCTATGCTTAGAGATCCTCCTGCACGCTCGCAGTCTTCGGCGCTGTTCCTGTAATCGGCCCGAGCGGCAATGGCACCCTCCATGCTTAGACCATCAAGGGACTTAGTAACAGTAGGCAGGTTATCTTTCACTTTCTACGAACCCTATATAATTGGATGTTGCTCTAGTATTATAATCCTACCTACTGTGTTACCGAATGTTTGCCCACCGACTATGATTACAACCCTGTTTATGATGAATCTCATTGTAACCTACTTCTAGGACATTTCCAGGTGGGTAGTTACCATTATAGGAGCCTTATAGAAGGTCTATATATCTTATAGAAGCCTTATAGAAGCCATATATAATACCCTAAAATCCCCACTTGTAGACCTGTAGTTTCCTCTAACTACTGCTTCCTAAGTCCCTCGAGTCTCTAAGTGCAAAGACCGTCATCCCTGCAGCACGGTCTCCTGCACCAGGCGATTTTACGGCAAAGGCTTGTCTCTACAGCGAGCTTCGGGCGTGCTTTTTGGCAGGATATTTTGGAGTTTTGGGTGTAGGCTTGCAGGTTGTTGGGGCGAAGCGCTTGTTGATTACGTCCTGGGGATGCGTGGGCTTCTAGCCTGGTACATGCGAGGGGCAGTGTATAGGTGTGAGAAGGATAATCTTGAAACGCGGTGGCTGGTGGGATTCTCACCAACCAGCGGGCCAGCCTTCCAGCGACTGAACCAACATGAATAATTAAACAAGGGTTTCGGCAAACCATGTTCCAATATCACAAGTATACCAAGGAGCCCTGGAAACGAGCCTTGCTAGGCCTTGAGACCCCAAAAACGAACTGAACAGAACTACCCGGAAATCCGGAGGCCTGAGCCTGGATCCGTCGGCGCTTGTTCAATGCAGCCTCGTGGTTGCCTGCCCCTAGGGCTCCATGTACCCATATAGTATATACTTAGGCCTTAAAGTAGTCCCGAAACCCTAAACCCTATAGCTACTTTAAGGCCTAAGTATATACGATGTGGGTACATGGAGCCTTGGAGTTTCATCACCATGGGGATCAAGGCTTCGGGGTCAGCGGTCAGTGCTTGTGTTTATAAATAGGGCTTGGATGTATAGTGCAGGGGCCCGGATAATTAGAACAGGGTTTTGGGGCCCATTACACGAGAATTAAAGTAAGGAGCCCCCAAAATAGTACTAAGGCCCCTATCTTCTATAGGGTTTAGGGGACTCCAGGGTTCCCAAGGGCTGCTTTGGAGAATGGATTCGATGGATCAACTTCCAGGTTTCTCGAAGGAGTTCTGGTGGTCAGGGTTCTTGTGACAATCCGCATTAGTAGGGTTTGAAAGTTAAGATGTTAGGTCTTAATTACGGTCTGAACGTGCCGGAGCAAAGGCTTTAAGGTGGACAAGGTTTGAGGCCGTTTAGGGCCCTGGTTTCGTGTAGAGTTTAGAAGCGAGTGCTTCACTATCCATAGTTTCTTTCCTGATGTTGCTTGCGCGGCTCCTCTTCAATCTCATGCGTCCGCTTTGGGAAGGAAACGGCATCCAACTCCCCGAGCCAGGTCCGCCACAGCAAACCATCACACCCAAAGCCCCACAAGAAGTGGAATCGGGGTGTGGTAGCATGTCAAAGTCTCGAGCAGGTCTATGCTGAGCACTAGACCTCCAGAAATGCCAACAGGGCGGTGTCCCACTTCATCTAGTACATGTTCTTGCTTTGATGTTGCGGCAGTGGGATGGGGTCTTTGAAATGGCACTGCTTGTGCAACGACCTGCTAAGTAAGCAAATTGTCGAGATGCCTCAAGAAACGCGGTCGTATACGGTTGCAGCCTTGTGGCCAGGATCACGCCCAGCATTTTGGAATCCCGATCAAGAAGGCTAATCGGGCGGAGTGCACCCCGGCGTGTTCGGAGCCTTGCAGAGCTTGGGAAGAAGTGCCTGATGAGCGTCCCACCCTTTCTGGCTCGAAGTGAGGCCCTCCAGACTGGAAAGGCGTCGCTGAGGTGAGGCACAGCAATAAGATCGGAGCCGCTAGCCCAAAGCCACGCGCAAGCGCGACATTTCTGTTCAGGAGAGAAGAATCCTACCCAACCCCGACACCCTATTAGCAAATCCCAAACCCTTCTCAGGTGCTACCTCTAAGTCTTAAACAGGCCCGACACCTTAAAACTCTGAAACCTTATGTACGTTCTAAATCAATCCTGTGCCATGCCGCCCCTAACCCTAGAAGAACCCTTGCGAAGCCTTACAAGAACTCTGTTAGAAGCCCCGCAGACCCTACAAACACTCCAAACACTGGACCGGCAAGAGAGTTTCAGTGCCTCTCTCACCGGGGACGATGGAATTGCGTGCCGTCCTAAGAAGTCCAAAGGACTTGCGGTTTAGGGTTCTGGGGCTTTAGGGCTTTAGCGCTTACGGTTTAGCGTTGTGTGTTTAGGACATGGTGGGATTTTCCGTTTGCCCGGGTTTGGAGTTTGAGATGGCGTCTCTAGATACCGGGTGTGAAATGAAAAATGTAGGGTGCATGCCAGCATATGCTTTATATAGCAATGTCAGGTGACCGAGTCAGGTGCAGAAATTTCGGGACTTGTTGAGGTCTACAAAACCCAAAACCAAAAACCCCGCGACTTAGGTTAGGGCTTGGCTTTCAGGATTTAGCGTTTGAGGCCAAAGTGATAAGAACCAAGACTTGCAAAGACGGCAGTGTCTAAGCCTTGAAGATTCTGCACCCCGAACCTTTAAGCTACATATCTGGCACCTGAAACCGAACCCGTAGCAAATCCACCACATATCCCCAAAACCGTTGACCTCAGAGAATCTAAAGTCTAAACCCTATATGTTTTCAGCAGTAGCAAACCTAAGTTCACAACCCGCGAAAACCTTCAGCACGGCAGTCAGACTCAAAAACCAGAGTCTGGCTTTGGGGGATAAGATTGGAACTACAAGGGATGATTCAGACCTCTACAGTGTTGAGTGAACCCAAACTTGGTAACCTATCACAGCCTAGACTCTGAAATCCGGGATTGAGGGCTTCGGCTTTAGGCGTGCGGTGGAGGGTTTAGGGTTTAGGGTTTAGGGTTCCGGGTTTAGGGTTTAGGGTTTTGTGATACCCTGCAATCACCCCCTGCAAAAAACCTATGGGCCCCAGGCGTAGACATGCGATCCACATCGTAGCGGCCCTGCTTCTGAAAGCATGCGGCACCGAGCCTCAGCTGAGTGTAGGGGCTTAACATTCGCGAGTTTAGGGTCGAAGGTTTGGGATTTTAATAAAGGATCAAAGTTCAGGTTCAGGGTCTCGATCCATCCTTCTTTCTGTGAGTTTGAGGTTTAGCTTTTAGGATTTAGGGATCAGGGTTTAGAGTTTAGGGTTTACGGCTTAGGGGCTTTAGGGTTTAGGGTTTGGGTCGTCAAAGCCTTTGCGTCTCTTGTAGGCCACAGTCCTGACCCTCCGTACACTCGGCTGTCCGGTGCCCCTAGCAGTGCCCCTTTCAAAGCTCCACTACCGTACCCAAAGGCAAGTCACAGTAGGCTAGGAAGGACCATCTGATGTCTCATCTCAAGGCCCAGATTCTGAAACACTACAGCTAAACACTAAACCCTGAAATCTAACCCCAGAGCCCTGATAAACCCTAAACCCCGAAGCGTAAAGAAACTTACAGAACCCCAGAGTTGAGCAGGTCGGGCAAGCCAAGCTCTCTATTGCTCCCTACTTTGTTTGGTAAGGAAAGTACACATACACACCCGACCCAGAGGCTTTGAGGTAAAACTTCGCATCAGATTCCTGCAAGCAGCGAGTCCTAGCTTGGAAACTTCTAGGAGTAACATGTGTGAAAACCTGACTATTCCCTAAACCCTACACCCCAAACCCTAAACCCAAAGCCCTAAACCCTAAGCCCAAAGTCCGACACGTCTGTACCGGGCAGAGGCTGAGCCTGCTGGCTTCTTAAAAGCATCAGGAACCGCAGCCTGGCAGACAGGGGTTCTTTAATGGATTTTTATAAGGTTCTTTAAGGATTTCTATAGGGTTCTATAAGGATTTTTATAGTAGGGTTCTTTAAGGATCTCTATAGTGGATTTTTATAAGGGCTTCTTGGCGTTAAGAAGGGTTCTTCAAGAGTTTCTATAGGTTTCTGCAAGGCTAAGGGGCTTCTTGGTTTTTAAAGGGGTTGCTTAAGGGCTTATAACGGTTTTCAACAATTCTATATTGGGAAGGGGCTTGTTGCCCATTTAATGGTTCTCGGAGGGTTCGCTAGGGGTTGGGCTTTTTAAGGCTTCTTGCGGGAAGAGCGCTTACAAGGGTTCTCTGAAACGCTTAGGGTAGAGGGTTTTAGGGCGTAGGTTTTAGGGTTTAGGGTTTAGGGGTTTAACAGGGTTTGATGTGTAGACAAATATATATATATATATATATATATATATATAGATATACATATACACACACATGTATAGTTATATGTACATAACCTCACATGTACATACTATTACATATGTATGTAAACACATACATACATGTACCTCTACGGATAATGTATGAATATAAAAATACACATATATACACACGTGCAATGCGTTCCTGGCCTCCAAGCCAGTCGGATCCAAGTCCACGCCCTCATCGCTGGAGGAGTCGCTGGAAGACTCCGAGCTCGATGAGCTGGCAAAGGGGCGGTGGATCTTTGTTCAAAGGGCGTTAGGAGGGAGCCTTAATAGGGACCCTTGTAGGTTATAGGGGTTAATATGGATGGGATTAAGGGTCCCTATTAGGGGTCCCTCCTAAAGTCCTTAGATCTGTGCTTGAAGAATGGGGGAAGAGGGTTCTGGGTTTGGGGTCTTGATTGGGGGCCTGGATGCTGTCGCTTCAAAAATCACGGAGTAAGGCTTTATGGTTTAGGTTTTGGTTGGGGTTAAGGGTTTAAGGGTCATGATCGGGACGATGGATTGTTTTGTGCGAACAACAAGGACGAGGGCCTAAGGGGTTGCACGGGGTTTGGGTTTTGGGGCTTGGGTGGAGGGATGTGTAGGAGATTAGGGTTTAGGGCTTAGGGTTGGGCCTAGGGTTTAGGGTTAATCATGAGGGACCGGGTCTGGGGTCAAGAGTTTGAGGGTGTGGGTTTAGGTTTCCTTCCTGTCAACAGAACCCACCCCTCAAAACAGAAAAAACAAACCTTAAATCGAGACTGTCATGCTCTCTGGTTAACCGAAAACCATACCTTAAAAAACTTCGTTTTTTTGGGAGGATCCGTTTCATGTATGCAGTCTGTGTATGTCTGTGTTGGGGTCGATAAGAAGACCCCACCAAAAGTAGGTTGTAGTAGCTCACGCTACACCCCAGGTAAAGGCTTTTTATGAGTGGGGAAGTAGCTAGAAGAAAACTACTACTAGTGAAAACAAGTGTACCTAACCCGCCGCCCCCGATTGCAACATAACTTACTAAACCCTAAACCCCAAACCCCGAACCCTAAACTAAACCCCTTTAAGACAGATCCTTGTGCCTTGCATCCGATAGGCGCTCGCCAGCCGGCCTTTCGTGCCTGGCGTGTCTTTGATTTGCGTTCACTAATCAGAGTTTTCCATAGAGTTTATGGGATCATGATAGAGTCCTGGTTAATGATACGTAACAATAATGATGTCTTCGGGAACACAGTATATAGCATATAGCAAGTCGGATGTTTTTTGTAGTGGATTGTGCATGTGGTCATACAGTCCACAATGTACGGTATATGTTGTAGAGTAGAGTCGAGTTGAGTAGAGAAGAGTATCGTACAGATGGTGAAAGACGTATATGGGCAGTTTTCTAAATTAGGGTCCCCTTTAGGGTCCTTGTTTATCACGATGCCGTGCTATCTTGGGGACTTAGAAGGGACCCTTACTTAGAGAACTACCCATGTGACAATCATGCAGGGTATTGGGACTGTCAGGCGCCCCCCATAATAGTCAGAATAAGGTTTTGGGGTACATTGTACTATATCATTAACATAAAACATAATTGGGGACCTCAAATAGTGAAGCGAATTGTGTTACGTCAAGGATTGAAGACCTGGCAATGCACATGTAGACAAGAAGCACCATACGTACTTATCCAGCCGGAAGAAATATATAAAGAGCCGTCCAAAGCTCTGGAAAATGAGAGCAGCCCTTCACATGGCTTGGGGTTTAGAGTTTAGTGTGCCTGAACCACGCTACAAGTGAAACAGCTGTTTCTGAACCTTGGAAGTGTCGTGTAATTCCACCGCAAGACACTGATTACTATGGGTTTGCGACTCTGCATCAACCCTCGTCACACGTGATTCGCAACTTCTGCATGCGTTCTCATCACGTCTGTAGCGCTGGCCCTTCACCCGAAGCAAAACCGTAGCTCATAAACCCTAAACCACAAATCCATAAAGGCCCAGACCTTCCCAAATATTTCCTAAGTACCACCTATAGCTGGTGATATTTGCCCAAACCAGGATAACTTGTAATTCCTACTGTAGAAACCCTACATTCTACTAGATAGTTACTTAATCTCTACTGAAACTTGAAGCCACAGAGGATGGAACCCGGGAGCCCGCACCTCATCTTGAAGCGATCACGCCGATTCATGCTCATGGCTTTTTGGTACAAATCCGGAGCATACTTCCTGCGGTTCAGGATTTGGGAGTTTAGGGGTGTTGGCCCGAATCTGTAGGGCTTTCTAGGGCTTAAGACTTCAGCTTTCAGCAGGCAGTGGGCTGGATTTTGGGGTGCGAGGAGTTTCCAGGCATCTCCGGAGACCTGAACCGCACACAGCCCTTGTCCCAGGATAAACCCGAAAGCTGTTGAGCTTTGCACGACCCTGACATGTAAACAACAACCCCTTCCCCTAAGATCGCTCACATAGGACAAGGGCTCTTAACCTGGGGCTCCCAGGCTATACTAAGACAAATAATCATCATACTAATACTAATACTAATACTAAT